GCAAGGAATTGCAAGTAGATAAATAGGTACCACTTCGGTGGGAAGGTAACAGCGTTCCGTGCGCCTTGGTGTTTAGTCATGCTGGCCACATGACCACGGAAACGTCTTCAGACAGCGCTGGCTCTTCGGCTTGGAAACGGAGATGAGCACCGCAACCCTAGAGTCGGATTTGACTGGCTTTCGAGCAAGGGAGACCTTTACCTTTACCTTTTACTGTGTCACGAGCTGAACTCTGATAAAACCAGGGATGAGAAAGGACCTAAGATGCATCCTGCTGCTTGTTTTGGGGGTTTTTTTTACCCGTTATGTCCCTCGAAGAGTGTTGCTCATCAGAACAGCAGCTGCCTTTTTGGCTCTGGCTCCGACCTGGTGGAACACTTTTCCGAGTGAGATCAGGACCCTGCGGGATCTGCTTCAGTTTTGCAAGGCCTGTAAAACAAAGATGTTCCACCAGGCTTTTGGTTGAGGCGATGGGTGTCTCATTATTCTGGCTTCCCCTGCTTCACCCCCTGACCTGGTATGTTCAGCGGCTGCGGGGGGTGACCGCCCACTGCCCTTTCTTAATCTTAGGCATTTTATAGACCCATAGGAGCATGCTCCTAGGTCTATGGGCCGTCTTGGTGTGCTTAATTTGTAGAACTGTAGAACGTTTTTATTGTTTCATCTGTATTTTTAATTGTTTGTGAGCCGCCCTGAGCCCTGCGTGCAGGGAAAGGCGGGATAAGAATCCAATAAATAAATAAATAAATAAAAATAAACATGGATAAAGAAGCAGTGCTCAGCTCACCTGCAGCAGCTCGAACGCAGCCAGGAGATCTCCTCCAGATAGATTCCCGCAGTACACTGGGTGATAACAAAGTTTCGGTGGTTCATATTTCTCCCCAGCCAGTGTCACAACAGGGGAGGCCACGGTGGAGCCGATATATTCTGATTTGCCCTAGAAGTTTAAAAAACAAAACAGCACATTATCATTTACCTGAATGGTCTTACTGGACGTCATCTCCAAACCATCCTGATCATCAGAACTTCTAATACACAGAAAGGCTAGACAGGGACACAGAGTTACAATGACATAGGGACAAAGTTGACGTTCAATGAGGGCTATGTGTGATGCAATCCTGGTCCTTAGCTGGCGTTAGAGAGTCATCAAGGGGTGGAGGAAGCAGGAGGCATGAACCTCCAGAGTCTGAGGAAAGACCCAGCATGCAGGACTGCACAGAAATAAGGTACGAAGCCCTTAAAAGAGCCAGTTCTAACAGTCACGCACAAACAGTGGAACAGGTAAAGACTTATCCTGACCCGGGGCTTTTCTGCATTCTCATTTTACTTCCTGTTAAGTTCCTGTTTCTTTAGGTTTTCCCCCCTGTTCTGCACATGCTTTGCTCCCTCTAGTGGTCGATTCAATAGCAATCAGCTTTATTTCCAGTTTATCTCTGCAGTTTAAATCTGCAGGGAGATAAACTGGAAATAAAGCTGTTTGTTATGAAATCGGCCACTAGAGGGAGAAAAATACATGTGGAACAGGAATAAGCCCAAAGAAACAGGAAGTTAACAGCGAGTAAAATGAGAATGCGGAAAAACAGTGGGCATCTCTAGTGCCTTATCTGGTCAAGGAAATCCAGACCGATTCCCCACAAGCAGCTGTGCCGCTGTCGCTCTTCTGTTTCCCCCGCTTGCATTTGTCAGTTTCACACTATTCACCGTGCGGCTGCATTTTGAGCCGCAGCTCCCCTCGATTTCCCCCGCGTCTTCTCGATCCTTGTTTTTTGAGATTGAGAAGACACGTGGGAAATCGGGGAGAGCTGCGGGTCAAACCATGCAGCAAATAGTGTGAAATTGACCAATGCAAGCGGGGGGAAACAGAAGAGCGACAGCGGCATAGCTGCTTGTGGGGAATCGGTCCCAGAGTGTTGCCTGTGTAGGCAGAGTCATTGGTAAATACGGATTGGCAAGCACAGGTAACCCGTGTAGAATTTGGAGCACTGAGAATCTCAACTAAAGCAACACATAACAGTTGAGATGATGAGCTTGGAAACATGTGCCTGGCGAAATTTCAGAACACGAATAAGCAGGACTCCCGGTAATTAAAGGAAGGGTTACCAACCAGTCAATATTTTACTCATTTGACCATTCAAACAATGTTCTGCTGAGTAGCAAGTATGGGGATCCGAAAAGCAAGTGAAATCCAGTATTCTGCCACGTTCCACTCACAGGTCATCGTATCTTAACAGGGGCCACTCATAACCCCAGTATGTCTGCTCTAGCTCCACCATCTTGGCTTCAATCTTGGTGCACCAGATTATGTTCTGACTCTGCCTTCCTGGTACAACCTGGGAGATCAGGTGACTGATTTCAAAACTACTGATTTGCTACCTCCACATTGTGGCTAGAAACAGAATATATTGTACAAAAGACTCGTAAATATGCATAATTTGTCTGGGCATCCCAATACGACACAAATACTCCATTGAGAAGCACCAGAAGTTATCCGGCACACTTAAGAGAATTTTTATTTTGATCTTTGCAAATTCAATACTGCCCTGACAGGGATGGCTCAGGCTAGCCTGATCTTGTGAGATCTGTGAAGCTAAGCAGGGTTGGCCCTGGTTAGTGTTTGGATGAGAGACTACCAAGGAAGCCTGGGGGTTGCTACACAGAGGCAGGCCATGGCAAACAGCCTCCATCTCTTGCCTTGAAAACCCTATAGGGTTGCCGTAAGTAGGCTGTGACCTGATGGCATTTTCCTCCACCACCACCATGTTCAATACTATTTTACCATAGGAACAACTGTAAGAATGACTATATATTATAGCAGCATTGTTATTGTTTGTTAATGGTAACGTAACATTTCTTAAAAGGAAAGGGAAGAGTCATTACCACTGCATCGTCATCGTATAGCTCTACAACGACCACTGGGGGAAATTCGGCAATTTCTTTCCCATCTCCGTGAAGCATAATATTATTAAACAGTAGCATTTGGTTCCAGGTCGGAGACAGAGTCTGTTGAATGATCTAGTGGTGGGGGAAAGCAGTGTATTGAGTGAAGCAACACAAATACCAATAGAACATGCAAGATATTTGTACTCTTCTCATGGGCACAGTGCCAAACTACACACGAGATCTGCCATCGGGATTCCCTGCATTTCTTTAAAGCAGCTGCCAGGATGCAAGGAAGGAGTGTGGATCAGAGATATGCTGTGGAAAAGCTGAGTTTTTTTAAATTTAAATTTTTTACAATTTTTCCATCATAACCAAAATCAAACTTAATGCAACATTAACTAAAATTAACTCATGATCTTACATTGCTTTTTCAAAAAAAATAATACAATCCATAAAACAAACTTTTCTTCTCTTTAACCACATTTTGGTACAACAAACTAACATTAAAAAAAAATTAAAAACCTGGTGGAATGAGCTCCCGGAGGAGATCCGGGCCCTGCGGGACCTTGTGCAGTTCCGCAGGGCCTGCAAGACGGAGCTCTTTCACCTGTCTTGTGAGTGGGCCCCGCCACTACCTTTACCATCACCACCTTTACCATCATTACCAACTGGCCCTGTGAAGAGTGAACGACAGCGCTGCGTGGAGCGGGCACCATTGAACTGGGAGTACCATCTTTGAGATGCCATCTTTTATTGAAGACTGATTGAAACATCTGGAGCACTTGGAATATTGTAAACGATTGTTTTTATGTGGTTTAAACTTATTTTATGTATTGGCATTTACCCTATCTGAGAGCTGCCCTGAGCCCACTTGAGGGGAGGGAGGGCTATAAAGTAAAATAATAAATAAATAAATAAATAAATAAATAAATAAATAAATATCATCTCTTGATACAGAGGAAGAAGAAGAAGAGAAGAGATTGGATTTATACCCTGCCCTTCAGTTGGAGTCTCAGAGCGGCTCTCAAACTCCTTTCCCTTCCCCTCCCCACAACAGACACCCTGTGAGGTGGGTGGGGCTGAGAGAACTCTGACACAAACTGCTCTTTTTCAAGGACAGCTGTGCCAGAGCTTGTGACTGACCCAAGGTTACATCAGCAGCTGCAAGTGGAGGAGTGGGGGAATCAAACCCGGTTCTCACAGATTAGAGTCCGCACACTTAACCACTACACCAAACTGGATTGTTAGGATTAATATTATTTTCTGCCATATAGCTGATGAAGGGAAAAGAGGAGCTAACACTTCCCCTGTACCACTTTCTCGATTTACATTGCCACCCTCCAAAGAGACAATTTGTTCTATAAAGTTTATAGGCATAAAGTGTATAGGTACTCATAGACCATCACCTTTGCATGACTGCATCTATTGATTTCAATGGAACCTAAGCGTATTTATTTATTATTTATTTACTTCATTTATACCCTGACTTTCTCCCCACGTGGCTTACATCCTTCTCCTCCATTTTATCCTCACAACAGGTTGTGAGCCTGTGATTGGCCGAAGGTCATCCAGCAAGCTTCTGTGGCAGAGTGGGGGTTTGAAACTGGATCTCCCAAGTCCAAGTCCAGCACTCTAATCACTACACTACTCCGCTAGCCCTGACCTGTATAGCCCAGGCTAGCCTGATCTCATCAGATCTCAGAAGTTAAGCAGGGTTGGCCCTGGCTAGTATTTGGATGGGCGACCTCCAATGAATACCAGGGGCATGACACAGAGCCAGACAATGGCAAACCACCTCTGAAACATCTCTTGCCTTAAAAAACACCACAAGTCTAGCTTGCCACCTACTGGTGCACAATGCTAAAAGAGCTAGAACCTCTCGCTGCCAGACAATCTTAGGATCTCCTGGCTATAGTACACACACTGCCATATGATAATGATGATGATGATGATGATGATTACCACTCTGCTTTGCCAGAGTCTCTCTGAATTCTCTTGTTTTATGCTAGGAAATTCAAAATCACACAGCTGATTATTGGTTACTCCTGCCAAGAATATGAGCAGTTCTATTTTTTTTTAAATGTCATTGTGCATCTATTTCCTAAAAACATTTCTCCCAAATATTGATATTATAAATAATCCAGGATGCAACTGCAGAAAAGGGTGTCCTACTGATTCTATTTTAGCCATCGCTAATTTGTGTTCTTCTTTTAGTTCTCTTTTGTATACTCTTAGCACTTTCTGCAATTCTGGTAAACATGCAAACATATAAAGCTAATTTACACTGAATCAGACTGCTGGTCCATCAGATCCAGTACTGGATACTCTGACTGTCTGAGGTGCTCCAGAGCCTCAGGCAGAGATTCTTCCTAGCTCTGAGATCTTCTTTAGCAGAGATATTGAGGATTGAACTTTAGGTGTTGAACAGTCATATGAACACATAAAGCTGTCTTAAAGAAGAAGAGGAGGAGGAGACTGGATTTATACCCTGCCCTTCAGTACCTGAAGTAGTCTCAGAGCGATTTTAATGTTGTATATGCCATTAAAGGTTTATTGATTGATTGAGTCTCAGAGCGGCTTACAATCTCCTTTCCCTTCCCCTCCCCACAACAGACACCCTGTGAGGTAGGTGGAGCTGAGAGAGCTCCGACAGAAACTGCTCTTTTTCAAGGACAGCTCTTGTCAGAACTATGGCTTGCCCAAGGCCATCCAGCCAGGTGCATGTGGAGGAGTGGGGAATCAAACCCGGTTCTCCCAGATTAGAGTCCGTGTACTTAACCACTACACCAAACTGAATCACAACCTTGACCCATCAAGGTCAGCATCTATTCAGACTGGCAGCAGCTTTCCAGAGTTTTAGCCTGAGGTCTTTCACATCTCCTACTATTTGACCCTTTAAAAAAGAGATGCCGAGGACTGAGCCTGGGACCCTCCCTGTTCTGTTTTCTTTCACCTAGTGAGCGAGCCAGCCCTGACCAGTAAACATAAAGACAAGGGGATTCCCTGCTCCCAAATGTGTCAGTCTTTGCATGTGTGGGCCTGGATTCCCCTTTCCCTTCCCTTTCTTTTTGCAGAGTCACAGAGGGAGGGGTTGGCAGACAGTGAGCTCAAAAAAAGCAGGTTTTGCTTGTAGATGCAGAATGCATACAGAATACACAAATAAGTAAACTGGAGGGGGGAAAACCAGTGCAGAGGGAACGCACGCGACTGCGAAGTCAACCCTTAAGACTTGACTCCTCGGATTCTCCGGAGCAAGCTGTCAGTGCAAAAAGGGCCTTGGACTAATTCAGAAAGCAGTGAAGTAAGACGTGCATATTTCCCCTAGCAAGGCTTTGCAGGATTCAAAATTAGCCTTAGTAATGCTCCTGGGAGTTTAGGTAAAATCATTAACCACCCCCCCCCCAAAGATACATCATTAGTACCTCAACATTTATAGGCCATCACTTTAGAACTGATTACATGCATTTTCCAGCTCACTCTTAGATGCACAGTCACTTATTAGATCAATTAAGTAATTAACACTTGCAGCATATGGTATACATCCGTAATGTTTGCTAACCTGACTGGGTCTGCTTAGCGTACAAGGACGCAGCTAATCCAGAATGTAAATTCTCAAACATCCTGATAGTTTATGTTGCAGATTATGAATAAAGATTTGCTACACAGCCATGCCTATAAGGTTTATGGTACGGAGTGGTTCCAAAAGGCCCAGCTTCCTTTGCCTTTGACGCATAACTCTTAGCCTTTCTGCTAGTCCAGACCTGGATAGCCCAGGCTAGCCCGTTCCTGTCAGATATCCGAAGCTAAGCAAAGTCAGCCTTGGCTTGTATTTGAAAGGGCGACCTCCAAGGAATACCAGGGCTGCAAAGCAGAGCCAGGCAATGGCAAACCACCTCTGAAACATCTCTTGCCTTAAAAACAAGTCTAGCTCACCACCTAGTGGTGCATAACGCTAAAAAAGAACTTATGGCTGCCAGACACTCTTCAGATCTCCTGGCTATTCTACACACAATGCCATACAATACTTACAATTTATTATTATTATTATTATTATTATTATTATTATTATTATTATTATTTTGCCTTTCTGCTTGATACATCTCACTGAGCTGGATCACTGGGTGTGGCTCAGTGATGGAGCATCTGCTTGGCATGCAGAAGGTCCCAGGTTCAATCCCTGGCATCTCCAGCTAAAAGGACCTCCAGCCAAGAGGACCACAGTAGTGCTGGAGTGAGAAACTCAGCATATCTGGACATTGGGGAGCGCTACATCATTCTAAGTGCGTACAGGTGTTATCTCCTTGAATGGGATGCCCCTCTTTGTCTTAACCTGGGAGCTGCCCTCTGATCCCTCCTCTCTCTCTCTTTGTCCTCTCACTCCCTGCACATGGCCTTCCATGGAGACACATGTCTCTGCAGGTCACTCCTGTAGAGACAGTGCCCTCATACTCCTATACACATGGTGACAGACAAGCTGGCCATTTGTGATAGGGGAAGTAGTCTTTTCGGCTCCTTTCTCTCCTTTGACTGCAACCTGAATGTGAACTGGATCTACTTGAACAGAGCAATATACTTCTTGGGAGATTTATTTACTGCACTCAGCATCACGTTTCTATGACTGGGCAAAACTCAGCTACAGTAATCAAAATCCCAATACGTAGATGGGGTGAAAGACTTCAACCTGAGACCCTGGAGAGCCACTGCCCATCAGTCAATACTGATCTCGACAGACCAATGTCTGACGCAACTTCATGTGTTCATGTGGATACAATCCCTGGGTTTTGTTGTGTCCAATTCCTATGTCGGTACACAGCATTAAAAGGTAAAGGGAAAGGTTCCCTTGCTCGAAAGCCAGTCGCATCCGACTCTAGGGTTCAATGTTCCCTGTAAGGCTGAGACCCTGGAGAGCCACTGCCCATCAGTCAATACTGATCTCGACAGACCAATGTCTGACGCAACTTCATGTGTTCATGTGGATACAATCCCTGGGTTTTGTTGTGTCTAATTCCTATGTAGATAGGTAAAGGTAAAGGTTCCCTGGCTTGAAAGCCAGTCGAATCCGACTCTAGGGTTGTGGTACTTATCTCCGTTTCAAAGCCGAAGAGCCAGCGCTGTCCAAAGACGTTTCCGTGGTCATGTGGCCGGCATGACTAAACACCAAGGCGCACGGAACGCTGTTACCTTCCCACTGAAGTGGTACCTATTTATCTACTTGCAATTTCTTGCTTTCGAACTGCTTTACCTATACATGCTTGACATACATGGGGAGATTGTTTCTCTAACGAACAAGCAAGCAACCCCCTCCCTCCCAAACCCCACTATTTGATTTTCATTCTTACCTTTGTGGTCTGGCAGTGCGAAACAAAAGTGACTTTGGCAAAGGGATCTGAAAGTCCACTGTTATCAGCTGCTATAAGCCCCCTGGCCTGATACATGTGAGCTCTCAGCTGGAAAAACAGCTTGTCTGGGGAAAAAACAGAGGTGAGAGGTCAATTATCAGTGTGTGTGTGGGGGTAACCCAAGTGGTCCATCCTGCCACAATACAAAAGAGTCAGGGAGGAGGCTGTTGAGTCCTCTTTTAGTTCTGTGGTTCCGTAGTGGATCAACCCATGCAAAAATTGAAGGGAAGAGCCAGAATCATAATCCTAGAATAAGTTTCCACAAATAATTCTTCTGCAAACGAATACTCACAGCTGATCTTAGGCATGTTTATTTAGGAATCAGGCCCACTGATTACTCCAAAGTACCTGCAGTTCTCTGTTGACAGGGGAGCATATTCCCATGACCGGTTCAACATGGGGCAGTCACAGGGAGAAAGAAAACCTTAGCCCAGACTGAGTTGCGGTTGCTTCCAGCAAATGCTGAACAATTAAGTGTTCCATGACTACTAAGGTTACCATCCCCTTGATGGCCAGCGGGGGGAGCCCCACCCCCAAAGAGCCCCATCACACCCAATGTACCTGGAAGTGAGGTCATCGTGCTGGGCATGTCACGCGGGGGACGCTCTAGCATGTGCCTAAAAACTCTATGGTAACCATACAGTTTGTTGCTAAATTCTAGAGCATCCCCTGCGTGACACTAATGCCTACTCCCAGTGTTGGTCAGCACTGCAAGGAGGGGAGGCAAGAGGGAACATTTCAGTGAGCTGGATGAGAACTGAACATCTCTCCCTGCCCTGTTTAGAGGCACTTGGGGGCAGGCAGAACTGAGAACATCTGAGCCAAATAAACAAGAGCTGTGCAGAAAGTCTGTCCCGCCACCTGCTGCAGGTATTTGGTGCTTGGAGTTGACCAGAGATGCAACCCAAAAGGATAAGAACCCCTTTGGCCTGTGATTTGCAACCATGGACCCGTGTGAGCTGTTCCAGCAGAACCAGCCCATGATGACCCCTTAAAATGCCAAGTGGACCCCATTCTTTCGGTTCATTAAGGCTTCCCTCATGCTTACCACAGGGGCACATTTGCCTTTCTGCGGCTGCCTCTCATGCCACTGTGGCATTGCTTGGAAGTCTGGGATCACGTGGGTAGGGCCAGTTGTTTAGGTCCTTCCAAGTTAATCTAATCCTATCCTAGCCACCCAACAACTGGGTGAGAAAAATCACAGAACTGACACATGAACATGGACATGAACAAAGGAAACTACGTTATACTGAATCAGACCTTTGGTCCATCAAGGTCGGTACTGTCTACTCAGACTGGCAGTGGCTCTCCCGGGTCTCAGGCAGAGGTCTTTCCCATCAACTACTGCCCGTTCCTTATTTTTACCTGGAGATGCCAGGGATTGAACCTGGAGCCTTCTGCATCCCAAGCAGATGCTCTACCACTGAGCCATAGCTCAGTATTTATTAATTTAAAACATTTATTAGCTGCATTTCTCCCTTGTGGAACTCAAGGCAGCTTACAATATAAATACAAAGTCTTGTGGGAAGAACCCCTGGAACAGCGGCTCCTATGGCCCTGAAGTAGGGCTGCCAAGTGGGGGTGGGGGGTGGGTAAACCCCCACTTTGGAGGCCTAATTTCTGCCGCCGCGGAATCAGGCCTAGGGGGGAACCCCGCCCTTCGAAGCACAGCGTGGCTGTGTCACCGGAGGCGACGCAACCACATTGAGCACGTTTGGGGCGTGGCCCCGATTGTCGGAGGGAAAACTCTATGGTTTTCCCTCCGACGATGGGGGCCACGCCCCCAACGTGCTCAACGTCACTTCGTGGATGTGCTGGCGGCGCGCGCGTCGAAGAGCTCCCGGATCCCGGCAACGCTCCCCCGACGGTAAGCTTATTACACTTGGCAACCCTACCCTGAAGTAATGCACGAAGAAGTCCCAACAGGTCTGACCTCATTATAAGTTACATGACTCAAATATATGGTTTACAACAGCCCTTTGCTGACGCAACAGATTTAACTAGAATAGATACCTTACTCGTATCCTCACACCTAGATGAAAATATGTCTTACTTTTGTAGGCCAAACTGACAGGCGGAGGGGCGGCGTGGTGTCCTGCACTCGCTGCGGAAGGTGTTTCTGTTTCGTATCCGTAAGGTAAGTTGTCCAAAATAGCGTGGGCATATTTCGTGGAACCGAGCCACAGATAAACGTCAACTTTTCCATGGACATTCCAGCCAGGGGGCCGTTTTCCTGGCAACTGAAGGAGCAAAAATGTGAGACCAAAAAGAACGAAGTTAGAGAGGAAATGACGTATTCGTCTCCTTCTTCCAACGTGGCGTTCAGGACAGATGTTCCATTTTTATATCCACAAAACCCTCTGGAAAAAGTCAGGCTAAGGCTCAGATGACACCAGATGCTCAGCTGGTGTGACGCTTTCTCTTGATGGATTCTTTCCTTAGTGCAAAGCAATCTGGGGAAGGGTGCCTCCTCTATTCCCTTCCTGTCCTTTGTCTGCTCAAAACTGACCTTCCCGGGTTGCTTTGCTCTCATGGGATGGAGGGAAATACATTCAGTGTGAGACCTGAGCAGGACCACTTGGTGAGCTCTGCAGCTAAATAGGGATTTGAGCCCTGACTTGGATGGCCCAGGCTAGCGTGATCTCATCAGATCACGGAAGCTCAGCAGGATTGGCCATGGTTAGTACTTGGATGGGAGACTACCAAGGAAGTACAGGGTTGCTACACAGAGGCAGGCAATGGTGAAGCACTTCAGTGCGTCTCTTTCCTTGAAAGCCCTACGAGGTTGCCTTAAGTCAGCTGCGACTTGACAGCAACACAAAGGGATTTGAACCCACTTCTTCTCATTCTGAGCCCAAGATTATGCAGTGAGCTTCATGACTATGTGGATCAAGATGGGTCACAGAGGTCCCGTCCACACGAGGGGATTTGGGCCAGTTGCGGGCCAGTTCGGGGGCGGATCAAAGCAGCGCGATCACACCACAACATCTGGGAAGCGTAGCTGCGACTTGACAGCAACACAAACAAAGGGATTTGAACCCAGTTCTTCTCATTCTGAGCCCAAGATTTTGCAGTGAGCTTCATGACTATGTGGATCTAGATGGGTCACTGAGGCCCCTGCCACACGGGGGGAAATTGATGCGGCCAAAGTGTGGCTTTTTAAAGCCGCACCAAAAGAGACACGCGGCGGCGGGATCAGACGGATCCCGTGAGCCGCCGCGCAGTTGCTCCCCGGCACGATCAGATGCCGGGGGGGGAAGCGACGGAATGGAGCGC